GAAAAGGTAGCGAATATGAGAGAAATGCGGAAGAATGAGGATAAGAGATAAAAGAAGGAGAACCAAGAAGCTCAGGAGATTTTCTTCATTCAATATATACAAAAGCTACTGTATAACTTATTTCCCGTTCAATGAACTTTCGCTAATTTGCAGATTGCTAGAAAATTTGGACAATAACTAGAAAATTCAAATTAAAATGAAGATAACAGTAGATTCAAATTTTCGTTAGACTTAGATGTGATTTGGGAAAGAAGCTCACAAATAGAACTGGCCACATCAATTCACTGCATCAAGGCCCTCTTAAAAATGATAAGTGGTGCTCCAAATTAAATATTTCCCTACGATTATTCAAATAAAAGAGAAGGCAATGATAGGGGGAAACAGAGCATCTCTTATAAGCAGAGGAGGGAGGCATAATGAATGTAAAAATACCTTATTCATTTCTGGAGCAACCTGCGCGTCCACCACATCGTCTGCCTTGAATTGCCTTGCCATCTTTTTCAAGAAGAAGTTATAGTGCACAGAAGTGAAGGTCTATAAATTTATGCTAGTTGTATAAGCTTGTTGTAAAAGTTCATGTGATTTTCTGAAACTCATAGAAATTCCCAAAAATTTGAAAGCTTTAACAGATTTTCCTCTAGAAGAAAGTCGCTTGGTAACCAAAGTAGATTCGGCCCTAGATGATTTATGATCATTGAAGTGAAGTATCGGAAAACAAAACGACAAAGCCTTGCATGGAAAGGAATTTGTGACATAAAAATTTGTCAAGTGGTTTGATATTCTGAATAGTGATTAAGAATATAATGTTCATTATGCGTGATAAGGCCATTTCGTGCAACACCTATAATCTCGCTGTAAGCTCCTATTGGGCGGACTCGAGATACTATTCGTATTCAGCATGGTAAATAACGCTACCAAGTTAAGTTTTAGCGAATTACTCCCAAGGGGACAATTTTCAAGATGGTTTTTTTGATCTAAAAAACATTCGCTTCATAAAAATCATGTCAGCTTTGGTTAAAGCAAACTTCTCTGGAGAACAAAATGTTACATTCACTCATGCACTTCTGAAAACTTCGAATAAAAATATGATTTTTATGAGTTTGATATAAACTGTGCCAACTTATCCGACAACAATACTATGTTGTCCATGAATCCAGATGTCAAGCTATGAAAAAGGCCAACTTACACACCAATCTTTTTTTCTTTTTTTTGAGAAGCAAAACGAGATATCACTCACCTTGGTGTCATGATTGTAGTAGATATTGACAGGAAAACGTTTCACTAAGAAGTGCAGCAACAGTGGCGTGAATGATAGCAGCACTAAGAGAGTGTTGGCCACTAAAGAGATTGGATAAGAGCTGATCAGATAACTGAAGCACTTGTGCAACGAATGGAAACACCAGTACACCATTTACCCAGAACCAAATAAAAAGTTAGTATTTGTATAAGTAAAAGCTGTTTTAGAAAAGACCGTACAATATAAAGATGATGAGAGGAAGCGGCATTGTCTCCTCAAATTGTTTAGGGAGTTCTCTGGTGTAGAGCAAAAGGCGTTGCTATTAACAATTGAACACTAGTTCCTGCTTTTGGGCCACCCAACATTCCCACCCCTGCGATTAATAAGTGCAACTGATTACAATTTAGGTCCTAGCTTTGTCTGAACAATAAAGAGTGGAGGATTGTCATAAAGGAACGTGCCCGGAACACCGAAAGCATTGAATTGGCGAGCTAAACCGGAGCATAAACAATATCACTTCCCTCCCCCTTCCCCTTTTCACGTACTTCTTTTCGCAACGCATTAAGTCACATAATTTTCCATGATTTGTTTCGAATGCCCATGTATCTGCACTCAGAAAGAGTATATGGTTATGAAGCTCTTCTCACTCCACAAAATGTTAGTCTCGTATTCCCAACTCTTTTGATTCAGCTTTACTTATTGAACTGAGAAATGAAATGTCACATCGACCTACACCAACATGCGTGTTTGCCATAAGTTGCAACAATGTCTTGGCACCTAATTAAAAGGCAACTTTATCTGAATTGGCAGCTTTAAGCGAAATTGGTCGTCATTGCTTGGACCTCTTCCTACTGTTCCAAATTGTCAGTACACCGCGAACCCTCCTCACGAGAAAGCCCTTTAGCCTATTCTTGAAAGAAAAAACAGCTATTAGAGGTTACACTTTGTGTATGCCCGAAAATTGGTCGACATTGCAATCTTCAGCAACAAACTCTGGAAAATATAACCTCCTTCGAATGATTTTCTCAAAATAGGAAGGCCTACTGATGGACTCTCTAATGTTAGGATTTCATTTAAGATCAATGAATGGCAGTATTACCAATTGTAGCATTTTTTCCATAGAAGAAGCGAATATGAGCCCGTTCTCAAATTGTTTGACCACGCTCGAAAAGCTTAGCAGAAATAAAAAAAGCTTTTTCTGTCGATTTGTCTAGAGCAGGAAAAGCCTTTGAAAAATGTACAATGTTTGACTAAATTAAACGACATGAAAATAAAGTCGAAAATTGTGGCGCAAGAATTATGTCACAACCTAATATGTTTGAAGAAAAATAAAGAATCAAATCTTGTCGCCTACGCTAAAATTTACTTTTTTAGAGGCCACATCCCTCTAACATTTACAATTGTCTGATGTATTAAATGTGGCGAGAGTGGGATTGCTACATGGATATCCTCGCAATCGATCTGTTTCCGAAGTAAACTTACGAATTCTAAGAATAACGCAGTTCATTTTGAGATATTCGTACACCGGGGCAAAGGGTAAGTGAAATTGTAAAAGGATTATTAAGATCTTGATATGAGTATGTGCACGCCTGTCTCTTCCTCTATGTCGCGTACCCTCCTTCTTAAGATGTGGAGGTTTACCCTAATCTCATCGTCTAGTAAAGTTAACGCTCACTCTAAGCACAACATTTTTCAATAAAAAAATAAAGGTTAAAAAAAACGACATAGCAGTCTGAAGAAGACAGATACACGTTAATAAGGTAATTAGTGACATAAGCACCTTATTGTTGTGCGTTAATTTCAAGGTGCTTATGTTACTAGCGAACATTAAACCAATCCTTTATAATATTCTTTAAAAAAAACATTGAATGGATACAAACTTATTGTAAACATCATCATCGCTGGTCTCTCTGCCGCTGCGTCCCATAGATAGGTTGACAGTACGGGAACCATTATCACGCCTGCCACAGATGAAG